TAAGAGAGTAACATACATAATGCTTATGCAATTGTGTAACATGAATTATCTTAGTAGGCCTAACAAATTTAATTTTTAGAAGCATAACAGAGCCGAAATGTCATGTGTTGCCTATTGCTATGTAACTGATGGAAAATCTTTGACTACAATAGATTTAATAGTTTAAATTACCATATTTCTGTATAGATAAAATACAACTTAAACCATGCATTTTTGGCCATTTTCCCTATATATAGAATGAGAATACAATGATTGGAGCTGGCATATCGTCTCAAAATCAAAGTGTTGTTAGGCGTTTGTTTCTAGGAACAAATGGGCTTCGCTGTGATGTGTCAACTCTAAGATATGAACTGTTGATTGAGACCAGGTTAAGACGGAATGTTGGCCATAATGTACTCAATGCCGCCTCTTTTGACAACAATGTTTGTATGTGGGGCGCGAATTGGCGGTTTGATCAAAGACACTTGTTATTCCAACAGTGTGTGACATTTGGTCGTCATGGGAGAATATATGGAGAATCTTATCCGGGTGATTTTTCAAATTGGCATGAAAATGAATGCTGGTGACATTTGGTCTTCATGGGAGTATCCATGGAAAATCTGATGGTACCCACCCAAAAAATACACAGGGCCAGAACCCTAGCCTGCATGCACAATTAAAGTCCAAAATTGGTCGGTCAGTTACGCAATGAACCAAAGTGAATTCGGACCAATTTTATCACATAGCCAGAGTAATGAAATTAAATGGTATCCACACAAAAATACACAGGACCAGAACCATGGCCTGCATTCACAATTAAAGTCCATCATTGGTCAGTCAGTTACGTAATTAGGCAAAGTGAGTTTAGACCAATTTTAACACATAGCAAGGGTAATGAAATTAAATTGTATCCACTCCAAAATACACAGGGCCAAAGTTTGATGAGTCAGGTGCATCTATTGGCTAAGCTTGTTGTACATAGATGCAATGTGTATAGGGACAATTAATGCTGTAGTTTTTATTGGAAGGTGTAGAGGATTTTATGTTTGTAATGACTGGTTGTAATGTGCTATCACGTTGTTTTCATGATGCAGCCTGATATTTGTTGCTTTCTTGGTTGTTCAATTATGGCTTCAATTTCTGTGGTGGGTTAAAGATGTGTTTATTGTTTGTTGAGTCATTGTTTAGACATTCTGCAGCTTGAAATGGCATGGCCCGAATCAAAATATACGGCGGTGTCTTCTAAAAACATGGCATCAAAATGATTTCTGTTTTTATTTTTACTGTTGTAGATCCTGAGAACTAGCCACTGAATATGATGTCGGGAATAAATGGTATTGTGAACAAGCTTTATTAATTATTACTGGCAAAATTCCAATATGAATTGGGGCTAACTGTGACACCAAATCTAGTCGTTGTATTGTTATGCTTCTAAAATATTTTTTCAAATGTCTTAAAACAGATTCAAATATAAGTATATGTATTTTAAAATATTCAGATTAAATAGTGTCCAACAACAAATTAATTTGTAAATGGTAAATTTATACCTCTTATCTCTCATTTTTCGATGCTTGAATTTGCTACATTACAACTAACCAAAATTTAATATTCAATAGCATCATAAATAGTAGTACTGCACTTGCAAAGTACTTAAAAAATACAATTTATTAAACCTTATTGTAATACGTATTTTATATATACCATTTGATTTGTTTGTAATTTTGAAACTTTTGTTGTTTTTGTTTATTTGTGTTTGTTTTTTCTGATCTGTACCCTGTATCACCCACTTGTGGTGCAGTTGTGTAATAAAGTTATTATTATTATTATTATTATTATTAAATCATTCTATTAGTCTGCCGGACAGCACCAAATTATTTTAAATGGGTATTCATCGTTAAATGAAATTCGCTATGAATATACACTCTAATATTAACAAATGCTAACGCTGTTTTGGGAACAATATATTTCCAATACAAACAAGAGTACAAGCAAAAAAAGCATTCCACGGTATTTCAGGAAGAAGAAGATGTTTGTTAAATTTAAGAAAACCTAAAATGAACAGATAATATACAAAAAAGGATAACTGGTCACACATTTTCTGCCAACTTGTTAGTTTAGGCCGTTTACTCAAGTGATTGAACGCAATTGTTAAACAAAATACAGATGAACCATCTACAGAAGGTAATGGTATTTGCATTAAGCTTATGTATCCAAATTGTTTTGTACAACAACAACTATCATGACGAATTCTCTGTAACAGAGAAGAAAGATAATACGTTATGTTACTCATGTCGTGGAACAAGCATTGTATGAATATTGTATGAATATATATTAGTTTAGTACAAGTCAAGGTAAGAATTTTTAAATCGAAACGATCGTAACATTTCACGCACCTTGAACAAAATTACAAATTTTGCAAAATCAAAAAAAAATTCAGATAAAAACAAAACGAACAAAAATTACACTAGTCGCACTTATTCTGCCAGGCCCATGAATTCAAGATCTTAAACTTTATTGAATGGTCTGCAGTTTTAGGCTGTTTACTTGAGTTTCTGGACGCAATTTGTGGACTTAAAGTGGACCAGTTACATAATACATCAGAAATGGATGGCATTATGCCAATGAGACCTAACCTGTATCAATTTTATGATTAAGGCTTGAAGATTAGCGACTCCAGAACGTTACTTGGCTTTTCTGCATTGGTCAATCAACCAATTATGCAAACAACCAGCAAAATCCGCTTAATTTTGTTGAATCTACTATAAATTATGATTACAAAAAGTGCGTAGTGCTAAAGAAATATTACACTGAACTTTATACTGTGTTTTATGTCAGTACAAAGTTGAAGCAACGGCCATTTTCTGATCTTTTTCTGTCACTCAACGAAAGACAAACAGTACATATATATATATATATAATAAGTATGATCAGAAAAGACAATGCGAATAAAAAAATGCACTAGCCCATGATTTTAAAGTGTTAACTGTTATTTCATGTTCTACAGTTTTAGACTGTTTATTACGTACTAGATAATCAAACAAAGAGTGGAACAGCTACCGAATATATCGTGATTGCACGGCAATACAACAAAGAGCCTCGACCTGTATAAACTTCATGATTTAGACTTTTAATCGACTCCAGAATGTTACTTGGCTTTTCTGCATTGGTCACTGAAATTATGCTATCAGCTAAAAAAATCAGCTTGATTACAATTTGCATAACAAGCGTGTAGCGCTAAAAATTATCACAATGAACCTCATACTATATACATCTTTTAAATCTTCTTACAGCACAGGAGATTATTTGAAACGTTCTGCATCATCTCGAACTTATGCAAAAAGATAAATTTACTTTGGTTAACACACAAAAACAAGATATTGCTACCCTAGAAATAAATCAGAAAAATTGGAGGATGCATAAGCTACAACATCTATAGGAACAAGTTATAAGTCCTGTCCTAATATGTTTTCAGGGAAGTGAACTGTATACCTTCATTAATTAAAGCATCACTTGATGTTCACTGCTTGTAATATTAGATCTGTTTATTTCGTTTAAATGATTCCTCTCATTAGTAAATAGCGCCCTCACTCAACAATATTTAGAATGAGTGGTTGGTCAAAAGTTTGATGAGTCAGGTGCATCTATTGGCTAAGCTTGTTGTACATAGATGCAAATAAGTATAGGAACCATTAATGCTGTAGGGTGTCTGGGAGGGGTGGTGGATTTCATGTTCGTAATAAGTGGTTGTAATGTGGTATATCGTTGTTTTCAAGATGCAGTCTGATATTTGTTGTTTTCTTGGTTGTTCAATTGTGGCTAACATTTGTGTGATGGGTGGAAGATGTGTTTATTGTTTGTCGAGTCATTATTTAGACACCTACAGCTTGAAATGGTATGTTTACAGGTGAGAGAAGTGTATACATTGTACCTTCTCTCATTATAGCATAACTAGATACTCACTGCTTGTATTATTAATTAATTAATTTTAATATTTTATTTTAATTTCAAAACTAAAGCAAATTCAATATCTGAGACGTATATCGTAGATGTATTCACTGCGCCTAGGCTACCAAATCTATAGGAACAAGTTATAAGTCATGCCATATTATGTTTACAGGTGAGTGAATTGTATACCTTCTCTAATTATACCATAACTAGATACTCACTGCTTGTAATATTAATGAATTATTTTTAATATTTTATTTTAATTTCAGAACTAAAGCAAATTCAATATCTGAGACGTATATCGTAGATGTATTCACTGCGCCTAGGATACCAAATCTTTAGGAACAAGTTACAAGTCATGCCATAGTATGTTTACAGGTGAATGAATTGTATACCTTCTCTAATTATATCATAACTAGATACTCACTGC